TGAATGAATAAATGCACCCACTAAGTAAGTGAGAAGTAAAGTGCAGGTAATTAGAACTTGAAAAGGAATAAGAGCTTCAATAAGAGACCTGATAGGAGGGTAGCAAGTGCCAAATACCCAATGAAGACTTTGTAGACTAACACGAGAGTTCTTCACTGTCCAGCAACTCTCAAGTATATATTTTTGTCAAATTGCACCAATTTCAAAAAAAGGAAATTACGGAAAACTTAAGAAAATTCTGCCCATTAACTTTCCGCAATCCTTTGTTACCTGCCAAATTAAAAGAAAATACTACAAAAAATAAAAAGCAATTGCTTATACTTTTTTCACTATTTATACTTTGTATTTTTTTTCCAGAAACACATGAAATCACTCATTCACTTGCTTAACAAATGTGTGCCTAGCGCCAACTATGTGCCAGGCATTGTTCTAGGTCCCAGAGGTAACAACAGAGAACAAAATAAAGTCCTAACATTCATGGAGCATAACTTCTAGTGGCAAAACACATATAAACTGAAGATATTGGGTTGGCCAAAAAGTTCATTTGGTTTTTTACATAAGATGGCTCTAGTAGCACTTACTTGTTTTTAACTTCAATCACAATTTCGTTAGATTGTATTGTGACAGCGGTCATATCAGCATACATTTTTTAAAACCTTATCAAAATTGGTGAATTTTTGTGTAGCCATTTTAATATTGAAGATGGACAAAAATAAACGACATCTTCAGCATATTATGCTTTATTATTTCAAGAAAGGTAAAAATGCAACTGAAACAAAAAAAAAAAACCATTTGTGCAGTGTACTGAGAAGGTGCTGTGCGTGATGGAATGTGTCAAAAGTGGTCTGCAAAGTTTCCTGCTGTGCTGGAGATTTCTTGCTGGACAAAGCTCCACAGTCGGGTAAACGAGTTAAAATTCATAGCGATCAAATCGAGACATTAATTGAGAACAATCAACATTATACCACCCAGAAGAAAGCCAACATACTCAAAATATCCAAATCAATGAAGTTATTGGTGAAAATGAAAAATGTATCTTTTTATTTTATGGAATAAACCACCCAGATTTTTTGGCCACCCCAATATTTGTATTGCATACACATAATATAGTCTTATTTTCTAGTAGTAACTATCTAGTACCTGCTAGTAATACTGTTCTTACTAGAACTTTACCTCTGCAAGAATAATGTTCTGAAAAATGAAAAATCTTTAGGATCAAAGACATTGCAAGTTTGGTTCACAATAAAGTGAATGCAGTAATAAAACGAGTCATAATCTCTTTGGTGATGGAAGGTCTTGCCTACAATTTGTTAAAGAAAAAAAAACGCAACATCTGTGGAGCACAATAAAGCAACGTGCAATAAAATGAGGTACGCCTGTACTTGAAATATTTGAGAATTCCTGACCTAAGAAAAATCTAATTTTTTTCCACTAGTTCATTTTATTGAGTACCTACTAAAATATGAGGCACAATGGAAACAAGAAAAAGTACTAGCAGAAATCAATCACTTTAAATTCAAGTAGGGAAAAAAAGAAGAAATCACACACACACACACCCTATAAGGAAAACATAAGCAAGGTCCTATTTTGGAACTTAGAAGGACAAAGAGTTCCGAGGAATCGTGGAAAACTTCCTAAGAGAAGCAGCACTGGAGCTAAGCAGGCTTTTGTCAGAAGAAGGGTGAGGGGAGCAGGTCGGGCAGCAAGAAGCAACCATACAGATGATATATTTGGAGAATAAAAGTTTGATATTTGGTTGAATCACACAATTCTAACACTGGAATAAAAAAAATAAAGCTAGAACAGTAATTCGAGCACAAGTTATAAAACAATGAATCTCACACCAAGGAACCTGAACATGTTTATCTGGTGGGCAACAGAAAGGCACTGATGGATTTGGTGCTGGGTGACCACATAATTTCTGTGGAATCCTGTGGGCAGATACATGAAAACAGGGTACTTGGTAAGGAAGTAAAGATAAGGCTTTTTTAATTACTAAAGAAATCTGGTGGAAATGACAAAACTCTCTGACTTTTTGGCCAGACAAAACTCAAAACAGGTTTGTAAATACTAGTAAAACAGTCTCTAAAATGAAAGGAACTGAAGATACAAGAAAAATATAAAACCACAGCATAAGATCCTAAAGAAAAAAATGAATGACATCAAGACTACAGTGTCTATCTCTTCCACTTGCGATCTTAAACTCTGAAGTTGATAAGTCATTTGCCCTCAATCTCAGTGAATATGTCCTGGAAATTATGGTTTAGGGGGATAAGAAACCCAGTTTTTTCTTAAGATTTAATGCCTATGAAAAAGAAACAGCATAAGCAATGTCAGTTCTCAAGAGATGTTACTGGGTGATACTGTTAAGCCCACTCCAAATTAATACTTTTTTTGTGCTTACCCTCTCCCTGAAATGACTCCTTTCCCTCCACATCTACTTATCCAAATGTACCTAGCCTTCAAGACCAATAAAAGTCCCACTTCCCAAAATTCTCAAGGTGGAAGACAACTCAAAGATAGTTCAGTGCATATATAATATATCCACCTAATTCAGAAGTTAGTTTTACCTAGGATCTCTGAAAATTTTCAGCAGTGAAAAGGAATCACTTCCTCTGTTGAGGCTGCCCATTCCACTTTTCCACAGCTGTTATAAGGTTCTTTTTTTTTTATTTTTTAAATTAATTTTAAAGAGAGAAGAAGGGGGAGAGAGAGAAAAGCATCTATTTGTTGGTCCACTTATTTATGCATTCATTGACTGCTTCTTGTATGTGCCCTGACCAGGGACCAAACAGGCAACTTTGAGGTATGGGGACAACACCCTAACCAACTAAACTATGTGGCCAGGGCCATGAAGTCCTTTTGAAAATACTGGGTTGAAACCTGATCACTTAGAGGTTTTATTAAGTATTCCTAACTGTGGATTCTACAGTTTCAGGGAATAAGTTTACTCTTTCCAAAACAACCCTTAAGTATTTGAAGTGTCATCAGGTCTTCTAAAAATTTAACACTGCCAGTTTTTCAATCACTCCTGACATGGAAATTTCCCAGTTCTGGTCAACTTTCTACACAGGCCATTCACCTGAAAATGTGTTGCCTAGAAATGAACACAATACTCCTTAACTAGTTGGATAACACAGAACAGAGTAGAAACACTAACCTCCCTGATCTGGACACTAAATTTCTGTATTACTACCTAAAATAGCATCAGATGTGTATTTAAAATGGCCACATCACACTTTGATTCAACAGAGCAAGTGGTCAACTAAAACTCAAAGAAATTTTCATATTAAATGGCCAGTACCTAAAACTCAAACTGACAGCTATTCATCAACGATGCATATAAAAAGTACCTACAAATTTTAAATCTCTGTACAAACAAGAACAGCAAACTGTTGATAACTGTTAAAGTTGTGTACATGAGATCATTAAATTATCCTATTTTTATCTGTTTGAAATTTTCCACAAGCTTTTCAATATGTACTTAAAAAAAAACCCTCTGCACAAACCTTCAACTGCTACCCTTCTAGCATAATCTATGCCCCATCCCTATTTCTCCAGTTTCATCTTCCTCCTTATTCTTTCTCCTATTTTCCAACTATACAGAGCTATCTTTTGTTTCTTTCACTCTATAAACTTTCTGTGCCTCCATGATTTTAATACATGATTCTTGAATCTTCCTGCATCTAACAATATCCTACCTTCCTGCAAATCTACGTTTAAATATTTCTTCTGTTAATTCTGTCCCATCTCTAGCCTAGCAAAAAATAAGCAACAGAAGGTGGCCCTGGAAGGTGTGGCTCAGTGCACTGAGAGCCAGCCTGTTAACCCAAAGGTTCTGGTTCGATTCCCAGTCAGGACACATGCCTTGGTTGCAGGCCGGGTCTCTGGTTGGGAGAATGAAACAGGCAGCCAGCTGATGTTTCTCTCTTACATTGATGTTTCTCTCCCTCTCCCTCCCTTCCACTCTCTCTGAAAATAAGTAAATAAAATCTTAAAAAAAAAGAAAGAACGAAACAGAAGGTGGTCATAAATGCTCACCTAAGTCTAAGAAAAAAATTATTGAGGGGTTAGCATGCCCAAGGTCAGAGGTCTTAAAAGATAGAGCTGAGACTACAATCCACTTCCCCATAGTCCAAATCTAATCATCTTTCCATTTCCCCGCATTACTTGGTGGTAACAACTGCGTAGTAGGATCAAGGAAAGGTTTTCTTATCGCCCTAGTCCTGTATACATTTTACTAATGGGCCCGTGTTTGCTGCTCACACCAAAATGCAAATCAAAGCATTCTCTTTTCGCACTGCAGAACAAGGCAAAAGGAAGTAAAAATTAAAAGTTAGTATGTGAAGGGAAAGTAGATTAGATCTTTCTAACCCAAGAAATAATCATCAGAGAACTCTCCACCTCGGAGAAATGGCCACTACACTCATTCATGCATGCAATATGCATTGTACACTCAGAGGGAGACAGTCCCTGCTTACAATCTCCGCGTCTAATGGAACTAGTAACTTTAACTGCTAAACTTTAATGCTGTATTAGTAAGTCTAAGGGAATTGAGTAGCGATAACCAATTTCCAGCGCTAGGTCCCAGTCCCGATCCACCAACTCCACGCCAGTAACCCCCAATTTCCACAGGGTCACACGGCTTCTCCTGGCACTGCGCCAAGACACTCACCGAGCACCTAGAAGCACACCGGAGTTAGTCTCTGCTCTAGCTCCTCCCCTCCTTGGCTTACGTCATCCCGGAGCGCCGGGGACAACTGTATTAACGGTACTTCCTTGTCACGTGACGGGTTACGCCCCTGCTTGTGCGTGGTCCCACCCCCTCAGGCCGTCGTCGCAATTACGCTCTCTGCGGCCTGCAGTTCTCGGGCCGCTGCCGGCAGACGACAAGACGTCGGTCAGGAGGCAAGGCGCTCTAGGGCAAAAGGGTGAGCCAGCCAGGATCCCAGGACCCTTCACCGCTTGAAGCCGGCAAGAGGAACTGAAACAGGCGGGAACTGGCGGGGAAGGGAGGGAGCTAGCGGAAGGTGTCATGGCGACCGTGCTCTGGGATCACGTGCCCCGAGGGCCTGCTTTGGTACTTCCGGTCACGTGCCCTCAGAGTTCTCGCAGCCAGCGATGGAGGCGAGACCCCCCAGTAACAGAGGCGGTGGCGGAGGCGGCGGAGGCTACTGGGTTTCAGCCTCTTCCCGGCAGCGTCTCTAAGAAGCGCAGAGGATCTCCATCCGACCCAGCCCACTTACTTATTGCCCGCCCAGGGCCGTAGCTCCCACCTGGTAAGTTTAGACCGAAGAATGGGGATGGCTGAGTAAGTGAATTGCTGACAGGCCCGGGGGCCGCAGGACGGCGCCGATTCTGCCCCTTTTACTTGTGTCCCTGTCGTCCTCCTTCCCTACAACTCTCAAGCCTGCCTTCTGGGGAGCCCGTTATTCTGAAACGGGGAAGAGGCGACTCTTAATCTGCTTGCCTGTAGGAAGCCTACCCCTCTGCCGAGAGCGGAGACCAGAAGATTTACCCAAAGCCAGGATTAGACTTGGTTCCGGGGAGTGAGGGACGTGGAGGCCTCTCCTTGCAAAGGAACCCTTCCCCTTAGAAAATGTGCTGTTGAGTCTTTCGGTTTCTGTAAAAGAGAAAGCTTTCACCTCAGCGTCTGCACGCTTTTTGCTTCACCTGTCAATCCTACCGCTCTTAAAACCTTAATACGAGTGTTAATCCGCACATTGCCTCTCCTAGTTTTGGACTGTGTCCAATTTAATCATCTTAAAAATAGACCACCAACACATGGAATATATAATTATTGACTGAGAAGGTGTATCCTGTTGACTCCTAAATGCCCGTTTTAGGGTCTGTAAAATTGTAGAAGAAATTTAAAACAAAAAAAAAAAACACCTTTTGCCCATTAGAAGACCCAATTCTAAAACATACAAAAACGCTTTGAAGTGCTTAACGCTTAAAGTGCTTTGAAATAACCCTTCCATTAAGCATAGATTCCGTAAAGGAGTGAAACAGTTCCTCATCATGAATTCTTACCAGGAATCCTAATATATAAAGCAAAGTCAAAACTCGGAACAAATGAAATGTATCTGTCACAGCAGAAAAGATGACCTCCAGTATTAGGCCTGTGGCTTATAGAAGGGCTGGGCTGTAGAGGGAACTTTGTACCTTTTAACAAACCTAAATCCCTCATTTGGGAAGGAGAGAGAGATAACTTGGGGCTAGTAAACCTGTTCTGCTACCCTCACTAGACGAACATTTAGCACTAACAGATTGATGTGATAGTCTCTCCTGGGTGGTATTAAATGCATATGATAGTGCAAATATAAAAAGAACAATAATCCACGCAAATGCAAAGACAGATTTTGAAAAAGGCTAGGAAGATTGGTGCAAAGAGAAAGGCATCAGTTAAAAGTGAGGAACAAAATGATCGGCTCCAGTCAGTTATGCCTGCTTCCTGTATGTACTGCCGTAGAGGCTTATAACTTCTCCCTACTGGTCTGTCTTTCCACCTTTTAGCCCTGCTTTTTTCTGTGCTGTTGGGTTCCCCACCACCACCACCACCACCACCAGCAGAATGTTATTTAGTGTCCTTAGCATTTTGACTACTCTACCTCCTGGATACTGCTGCAAGAGGTAGCTTTGTGCCCTTCCCCCTTTTTCTTTTTCCTGTCTTCTCTAGGCATTGTTAGACGTCCAATAGACCCTCATTTCCCCATTTTGATTACCAGCTGATTGACCTCTCAATTTTGGTATTGTACTCTTTTTAGCATGCAGTATTTGAGTTAACACGAGCATGGTTTTCCCTCTGTCTTGCATGCTGCTGTTGCATTTTCCCCCCCTTCCCCCTCCTTACACTGTTGTAAGATTTTTTAAAAAGTGCTTTGCCTTAAAATTGCTACATTAGTTATTCTCTCAATATTTTCCTTGTCTGACTATCCTTAAAACTGTAGTACAGTTTGGTCACTTTTTACATACTTCCAAGGTCTTACTCCCCGTAATGTCGAATTATTTTTAAAAATTTTAGGTTACCTAATGGCAAGCAGCATTCCAAAACTCCCATTTTGTATGCTGGCAGATAAAATAAGCTCTTCTTTTAGCCGGTGATGAGGTGTTTATATTTCACTTGTTACTCTCCCCCCCCCCAGCTCCATTTGCATTGGACATTGGAAAAGGGGATGTAGGTGATAGAAATGCAGAGATTTGGTAGTTTATAAAGATTTCTGCTGAATAGTTTCAAATTCTTCCTATTCCTCTTTCCTTATAAGCTGGTTACTGGAATTTATGAGGAATGGTACTCAGATCTGTGAGTAGAAAACTAGTGATTCCTGGAATTTAGCCACTGGTGGATGTGCAAAGGTTTCTTGTCTTACCAACATTATATCCTTTTAAAAACAAATACTTTATTTAAATAGGTGTCACAGATATTTCTTGAACCCTTCCTGTACCCCAGCATAGGCTTCTGGGTGCCATATTGCACTGAACACAACACATGCTATCGCTGCCCTTCCTTATGAAACTTGCAGTCCATCTGGGGAATCTGACATTAGAAAAATTACTTTAAAAATTAATTCGAGTTGTGATAAGTGCTATAAAGAGAAGAATAGGAGAACTGACCTAATAACTTTGAAGCTAAGAGTAGGAAAAAATTAGTAAAAATTAGTTAATGGGAAGGGAGGAGAATGTGCCAAGGCTCAGAGCGAGGCATACACACTTAGCTTCAGGCAAGTAACTATTTACCTGTGAATGAATTAATGTCTTCATTAGAGGATCCTGCTATTTAAAGAAGTCTTGTGGCAGATTATTTCATAAAGTAAATAAGCTTTTAAGTAAAGCCTGATCTTCATCAAGCCAATTTGCTTAAGTGTAACTACACAGAATTTTTTTGTAAACGAAATATTCTGTGGTTCTTAACAGAGGTGTACTGGGAAGAAGTTTCTGCCACCCAAGGAACCACCTTCAAGAAAAATGTAGAAATCAAAGTTATTGTTGGATACCCATACTGGTTCTATTAAACTTTCTAAAACTGGTCCTAGTACAATGAACAGAGTTGCTATAGATAACCAGGGAAATTTGCCAAGCAAGGTAACTGTGAGATAGTTGACTAGTCATACTCAATGTTCAATAACTCATCTCAGACTTGTTGTTAAAGTAACTCCTGAATGGATTTTCACATGAATGGTTTTACATACTTCATGCAGGGTAGGGCAAAAGTAGTTTAAATTGTGAGTATGCAAAGCACAGTTTATTCTTATATTAGTACTTACTAATTACTGTACTGATTTACATATGAACAACTGTAATCCTACTTTTGTCCCACCCTGTACATAAGAGGCTTTGTTTTTCCCAGTTGATTCAAAGTAGCTAATAAAGTCTGTTCTGTCAGTCTCATTGATTCTCCACTTTACAGTTTCTCTGTGTTCACTGTCATCTTTTACGTAGTACAGATTTTTAAAAACTTTAATAATTGTTTATTAAAATATTAGAAAATTAATATTAAAGTATTTAATGGTTCCGTAGATGTTATAAAATTTCCTATATAAGTTTTTAAAGTTAAATAAAAAGTTATATACATATATTACAGACTTTGAAAATTGTTTTAATTCTTATCCATACCAACACCCCTGACACTTTTCCATTTTACCTGTATTATAAACTTGTGGTTTGATAAGGAATAAACTCAAAAAAACATTTTTAATAACTACTTTTCTCATTACAAAACATTTATTTATTGTACATAATCCAGAAAACATAAGGAACATTCAAATCGTCTATAATCCTGTCACTTTAGGTAACTACTATTAAATTGGGTATGCATCCCTCCAATCATATATATATATTCACAGAATAGCATAGTGGAATTCCAAGGTCAGGCTGACCCAGATTCAAACCCAGTTCTACTTCTTGATGTTTTAGAAAAGTACCTTGATTTCTCAGACCCAGTTTCCTTTGTCCGCAGAATGGAACTAATGATAGAACCTACCTCAAGATTGTCAATCAGGAACTGAATGAGGTAACACCTATAAAGAATTTAGCTCAGTGCCTGGCACATGATATTAAGAATTCAGTAAATTTTAGATAAGAGTTTAAAATTTAAGTGTATGGAATCAAACTTCAAACTCTTCAAGAGGTGAATACCCTCCAAACAACATCTTAGGAAGACATAAAAAAAAATCGGTTAAATTTAACAATGGCGTCCATCCTGTAGCCCAGGATGGCTATGAATGTGGCCTAACACAAAATCATAAATTTACTTAAAATGTCATGAGATTTTGTGTGTGTGTGTGATTACGTGTCACAATATATTTACATGTGGCCCAAGACAACTCTTCCAGTGTGGCCCAGAAACACCAAAAGGTTGGACACCCCTGGCCATTCAAAGATAGTATTATATATTGAGAATTCTAACCCTTTATTGTACATGATATATAGATACCCAAACTGTGGAGATTGTAAAACAACATGGGGAAATATTTTCATTGGTAAATGAAAAACAAGGTAATTAACTGGGATGTATTTAAAGACTCCATTTGTAAGGTGGGTACAGATAAGGTACACACAATTTAAAATTAAGAAAATTGATGTTAAGGTTGTGAGATTATGGAATATTTAAAATCCCATTTTACTGAACTCTTTAGGCTCCATCCCAACATTTACAAAGGCTCACATGATATAGACTATCTCAGCTGCACCTCATATTCATGTGTCCAGAACTGAATTCCTTGTCTTCACTTTTAAACTGGTTCTTCCTTATTTCCATAAATGGCACCACTTTACTCATGTCAGCGAGGTATGAGCAAGCATGTGTGACACCCTCTTCAGTATTTACAGTGTCTATTATCCTGCTGCTTCAGTATTTCTCATATTGCCCAGAAATTCATAAAGCCCCAATCACATCCCTATTGAAAAGTCTATAGAGGTTTTCTGTTTTCTTCTGCATAGGGTGGCATTCTTCACTACGTTCCTCCAGCTTAATCATCATCTTACATCCACTGATTCCCATGATGATCTTGATGCTACATCCAGAGCAGGCAGCTAACCATTCCTAGAGATTCTCAAGCCTTTGCCCCAAACCACTCCTGTTGCCTATAATGCCTATTTTCCTTTCTCTGCCAAAATCCGCATTCATTCAAGACCCTATTCATAACCAACTTAATGTATTAAAAAGAATAAACTGATACATGTAATATATGGTGAATTTAAAAAACAAATGAAAAACCAAATACAAAAGAATACATACTGCATGTTTTATATGAGGTCCTAGAACAGACAAAAACTAATACATGCTGATAGAAATGAAAATAATTGCTGGAGGGTGAAGGGAACTGACTGGAAAGGAACATGAGGGAATTTTCAGGAGTGATGGAAATGCTGTGTCTTACTTTGGGTAATGATGTATGGGTTGTACACACTGTATCAAATGGAACACCTAAGACTATTTTGTTGGCTTCTTGATTATACCGGTTTTTTTAATCGAGGTAATCAACTTCAGAGAAATTAAGATTTCACTTTTTTCTTTTAACTTGTATTTTTTCATTTCTGAATCACTGCTTGAGTGAATAAGAAATATTAGTTTTTTAATCCAACAGTATTTTTCATTACTCTGAAGAGTTGATGGTTTAAGAAGTAATTTGTTTTTATTTTTCAAATATTTTTATCAAGAATTGCTGATTTGTATGCCTGCCAGTCTTCTTAATGCTTACTTTCCCATTACATCCAAATATGTTACCAATTTTTTTAAATAGCTAATGGCAGATCCAATATTTCATTGTTTCTATTTGTTTTCATTTTCAGTTAAAATGTTTCCCTAAAGTTTTACTTGTTTGCTCAAGGCAAATTTAATTCTTAGATGACACCTAGATATGCTAACCTCTCTAGAATTATACTTTATTTCTGAAGAAGTTTTAAAAATATATTTTGAATTGTTCCTTTAGGAATGAAAACTAGTCATAACTTCAGAAATGGCATATATGTGGCATCTTTTCTACCTCTTTCCCCATCCCAGCCCATAGTAGACATCCCATCAGTCATGGCATCTTTCCTGTTGAGCCCAGACAACCTCAAAGTCCTTTTCATCCACATATTCCAGAAATAAATGCTCAAGCCTCTGGCCTTTGAGTTGGACATTTGAGATTCCCAGGATTTAGGAGAAGGGTCACAGTGTGGGTGGGGGTGTCAGGCTGTTTTCTAGGTAACAAATTGGCCATATTTGCCCAGATATGGAGAGCAGTCGAAGACATTTGATTGTTAAAAGATGGGGGAAGGGCATCTGAAGTCCTAAGTATTAAATTCTCCCAGTTTGGTGTCGTGGCAGCTGGGGAGAACCCTACAGGAACATCAGCTCAGGCTCCTCTCTGGAGAAGGACTGAATTATTATTCAGTCCCCCCCCCCGCAAAGAATTATTTGGCCAGAGTGTCAATAGTACTAAGAAACTTCACAAACCACTTTTGATACTGTTAATCAGTCACAGCACCTTCTCCATACACTACACAAATCTTTTTTATGTTTCAATTGTGTTTTTATCTTTATTGAAGGAAGAAAGCATAATATGCCAAAAATGTTGTGTATCTGCCTCCATCTTCAATATTAAAATGGCTGAGCAAAAATTCACCAATTTTGATGTTTTTTTTTAATGCATGCTGATATGCAGCTGTTACAATGTGAAATTGTTTCTAATGAGGTTAAAGGCAACTAAGCACTACTAGAGCCATCAAATGAAAAAAACTAAGTGAACTTTTTGTCTAATCTAATACAATAAAAAACAAAGCAGAACTAGGAGAACCAACAGAAGATAAAGTAGAAAACAGCAAATGACAAGAATTTTTACACTAAAACATGCTGAAGTTATTTGTTTTTGGCAGGAGAGTTGATATTGTACATTACTGTGAAATGACATCTCCATTAAAATACATGTTAGTTAACTAATGAGTATTGTTACAGGAAGTTTCCACTGTAGAAATCATTTTTTATTTAAACCTCAAATGGTGACCTGTGATTGTGAAATTGACAACACTTGGAAGCATTCTTGCTATCACATAATTGATGACATGCTTTGAGAGTTTCGTCACATGTTGGCACACCAGTGCTCTATGAACCTTCTATAAAAACATTTTAAAGTAAATATATTTTATTGTGAATATATTATAAATATATTTATTATAAAATATATGTACATTATATATTTACAAAAATGTACTGTGAACTTGTGCTTTTCAGCAGTGTTTTTACAGTGTAAGTAGATCATGGAAATAAAATTACTTATTCAATATTGCTATTACTGCATAACATTAACATTTGAACACGTCTGACAAATACCCTCTTTGCCATGTGATATTTAAATAGTACGTATTACCACTTAGGGAGTGCTTTCTTCTGTCTTCCTGGTGCTTGGTGCATACATTATCTCTGATCCTCAACCTAGTAAAGCAGGTATTAGTGGCCTCATTTCATAAGAAGAGATTAATTTATCCAAGTTTACACAGCTAGTGAGCAGTGAATTTTGGACTTAACTAAGGACAATTGAACTTCAAAACCATCACACTAAGCCATCCATCCACTAATCAAAACTTAGGAACTGCAGTTAGCATCTCTTCCAGGTGCTCTACTGTGGCCGTTGAGATGCTCTGATCACCTGGTTGCTTGTATCACTGCGCTTATTATTTATGCCTTTCTTATGAAACTGCATTGTTTGCTGGAGATATGGATCTGCAAGGAGTTGCCAGATGTAGCAAATAGAAATGCAAGAAACCCAGTTTACTTTGAATTTTAGATAAACAACGTAATGGCTTAGTATATGCAATATTTGGGACATAGTTACACTAAAAATTTGTTTATCTGAAATTCAAATTTACCTAAGCATCTTATATTTTATCTGACAACCCTACTTCTCTACCCAGCTGCTGTTTTAATGCTTTGCATATAGTAAGAAAATCAACAAGGTTGTAGTCAGGAGTATAATCTTTGACTTGACTATTATAATCCAAAATGCAATGCTGTTATCTGTAACATTTTAAACAATAAAAAGAAATTTTCTAAAAAACTGAGTTTCATTTTCAAGCATACTGGAAGAAACCTAGACTGGGGATTAGGGAATGTGGGTGTAGTTTCAGCTCTGGGAGTGGTTCTTGGGCAGCCACACAAACCCTGCAGCCCTTAGTTATTTCAACTAGTTAAAACAGTTTGAACTAAATATTTACAGGGTCCTTTGTAATTCTGAAGTTACACGATTCTAAATATAGATTACATAAAAGACCACATATTTGTAGTCAAGTCGTGCAGTTAAGATTTAAGGATATAACAGGAAAATAAAAATAAGTTGAAATACTCTGATTAGCACATATGGGAATGGTTTAAACACTGCCAGATGTTAAAGACTGTGTTATGTAAATGCATACCTATAGTATGAGAAAAATGAAGTTTGGCTTTAAAAAATGCCATACAACTTTATCTTCAACTTTGAATGAGGGAAGAGACTTTTCCTCCCTCATTATTTAGGTTTTGAATTTGGAAGGGACTCTAGAAGTCAGTAATTCTGACCCTAACTGAGATGTGAAATCTTTTTGTCTCTAGTAGCACCTTGTAGCCATCATGGCAACTTCATCTGAAGAAGTTTTGCTGATAGTAAAGAAGGTGCGTCAGAAGAAGCAGGATGGAGCTCTATACCTCATGGCAGAAAGAATTGCTTGGGCACCTGAAGGCAAAGACAGATTTACAATCAGCCATATGTATGGAGATATTAAATGTAAGTCATATTTGTTGGTAATTTTAGAACGTGCTTATAAAAATCTGTGAGTTTTTAATTGTAATGTCCGAAAAAATGAACCATACAAAAATAATTACAAAGTGGGACCAGCTAGTCCCACTTATATTACTGAATATGTGTAATTCTATAATAGCCTTTGCCACGTAATAGCGTATGTACATATATAAATCTCCCTCATGTAAAGACCTCTCTGTATACCTTCTTTTAGGAGTTGCACAGTAGTCCACTGAATGGATCTATAGTTACGTATTTAACCTTTCCTCTGTAGAAGGTCATTTAGGAAGTGTCCAGAATTTTGTTATTGCAAACAGTGTTGTAGTACTGATCTGTATGCTAATACCTTTGTGAGGTGATACATACAGAATACATCCGTGCAGTGAATTTACTGGTTCAGATGGCTCATGCATTTAAAGTGTTGATGAGTGATACCAGATTGCCCTTTAATAAAATTGTATCATTTAAGCAAGTTGTCTAATTAATTTTTAGTTAGGTGGCCATCATCTGTTGAGAAGATAATTCAGTTTTATACTGAATGTAGATGGGAGAAATACAAAGCATTTTTTAATGATTTTCAAATATGATGGCAAAAATCAAAACCCTTTCTCTTTCCAAATTTGCAAGATTAACTCTGAAACATTACCCAAAGGGTTTGGTACTCTTGCTCAATAATAGTTGAGTTTAAAAGCACTAAGCAAATTCTGAGACTTAGAACCTTTGCTCTGAAAGGGAGTTCTGCAGTTCACCTCGCTGAAGGTCTTGAGTGTGAGAGATTCCGGGGGAGTCTGAGCAACAAAGTCCTTGACAAATTGTGGTTATCTTAACTGTAACCATTCATACGGATTTTAGTATTTTCCTGGATATAAGATTCTTCTCCTGGATAAAATTATGTGTAGATTTCAAGGAACATGACATTTTGAAAAATAGACAATTCTCAACCTGCAAGTGCTCAATTTATAAATGTCCTTGGTGTATGAATAGTTGCCCAAAGACTTACCTCTACTTGCTGCTGGAAATGGTCAAGATCTTCCTCTTTCTCCACTGAAATAACTTAGAATCTTACATTTTCAGCAAAAAATACTATTTATAATCTATCATAATTCAGTACTGCCTAAGCTATTATGTCATTTTCCCCACTATCCTGGTAACATTACCTTCCTTTAAAACTCTGTTTTTGTTTAAAAATAAAAGCTTTACAAAGTTCCTGATAATAGTCCTACAGACTAATATTTATTCTACAACAGACTCATAAATTAGTAACTTCCTCTGTTAATCTGGAGCCCTAAACATCTGAAAACACACTCATTGTGATATCCTCTTAATATACCTGTCCTTGCCAGTATGGCCAATGCACTAAAAGGTTGGGAGTTCGATTCCCAGTCAGACATATAACTCGGCTGTGGGTTCAGTACCCAGTCAGGGAGCCAGTCGATGTTTCTCACGTTGATGTAATGTTTCTCTACTTCTCTTTCTCCTTCCCTTCCCCTCTCTCTAAAAATAAGTAAATAAAATCTTTAATAAAAGAAGAAAACTTCAGAAGTAGGCCTCTCAGAGGCAAGAGCTAAGCTAGAGCAAGGATAAAGCAGTGACTAAGAAAAGAAACCTAAGAGTGTTTTGTAGGAATGGGATAATGGAACAGCTGCTGGCAGTGTAAATCGTTCCACATCGCTGCTTTTGGCAGTAAGGTACTTCATCTAAACTGTTGGTGTGGAAGCAGTATCTTCATGGAAAAAAGTTGGTTTGGGCTGAGAGTTCTAGACAGCGCGTCCACACTACCATGAGTCACGCCTTTAACGGGACAAAGCCCCTCCAAAAGATAAGCACCACTCTTTGAGAATACACATTCTCTGTTGTGTAGTATATTTTGCCAGTCCCAGTCCCAATTTTCTATGAAAATCTTCAAAGTCACAGAAAAATATAAAGAATGCTACAATGTATACCTATATGACATCCCACCTAAGTAGTACAGTTACTATTTTGCCATATTTGCTTTATTTTGTGTGTATACATTGATTGACTGCTTATATTATCACACCACAAAAATTTTAATACTCAGACGATTTTATATTTCCCCAGTTGTCCCAGTAATGTATCTTAGAATTGTCATTTTTTTAAACCAGTGTACAGTCTGCATTCATGTATGTAATTGTAGTTCTTTAGTCTTTTCTTTAAGAGTGTAGGTTTACAGAATATTATACATTCTGATTGTGTTTGATAGTCTCTTAATATATAGGTGCTGGTGTTTACTTCCTATTCTGTCACCTCAGAAAGCCTACTGTATCAGCTTGTCCTGCTCTTAATGAGACTAATTTGATCACTTGGTTAAAGTGGTGGCACCAGATCTCTCAAATGTAAAATTACGTATCTTCCTTTGCAACTAAGTAAGCAAGCCATCGGCTGTGTTTTGGAGTTTGAGTCATGATGATTATGTTGTTTGAAAGCAGCTGTTCATTTTTATTTTTATTAATGATAATGTTGATTGAAGACGGCTGTTCAGAGTATAATTGGGACTCCTTGCTGACTGTTTAGAAAGCTTTAAAGATATCTGCCCCCTGTGAATGCAAACAAAAGCCCTTTATTATCTGGAGGTGGAGGCCGTGGGTGAAAAGTGCCATAACACAAAGAACACTAATGGAGGGAGCAGAGTGTTAGCAGTGAATTTGTAGAACCATGTAATAGATTATTTAAGAAGAGTACATTTCTGCAAAGTAAGTAACCTATGGATGGCAGTTTCCACAGTGTGCATGTCCTCATCTGATTAACCTCATATTTCTTTTTAGGCCAGAAAATCAGTCCAGAAGGAAAAGCAAAAATTCAGCTTCAGCTGGTCCTACATGCAGGGGACACAACTAACTTCCATTTTTCCAATGAAAGCACAGCGGTCAAGGAGCGAGATGCAGTGAAAGACCTTCTTCAGCAGCTGCTGCCCAAATTCAAGAAGAAAGCAAATAAAGAACTTGAAGAGAAAAACAGGTGAAGGAGGAAAAGAATAGCCTTTTGAAGAGATACTAGGTTCTCTGCAGTCTTGTAGACTAATAGCTTGCTATTTCTCATCCCGAAAATACAAGCTGTGGTATCATTACCTCTGTGTATGGTTTTCAGCTTCAGCATCTTACTAACTATGAAGCATTGGGCAAATGAGAATGTATAATTTTGCCAGTCCCACTCCCAATTTACTATGAAAATCTTCAAAATTACAGAAAAATTTAAAGAATGGTACAATATATACCTATATAATATATCCCACCTAAATAGTACAGTTATGATTTTGCCATATTTGCTTTATTTTGTGTTACAGTATTTTGCTTTTTGCTGTGTATAATGTGCTCCTATGTATAATGCACACCCACGTTTGTGACCCAAACTCCAGGGAAAAAATCTTTTGTTTCAGTTTCTTAATTCAATTTTTATTTGTTATATTTAGAAACAAAAACTGATCATTGTATGCCAGAGTATTGTTTTGCATATAGATATCATTGTTGCTTTTTAGAGTACACTTTTAATGAATAAGCATAAATAAAAAATTTTAAAAATATATATAGATACGGAATTAGTAATACCCATGAATAAGGTACATCCTTATCTTTCCTTAAAAAATTTGGGCAAGAAAATATGCATTATATGTGGTAAAATACTGTAAATTAACTGCCTTGAGCCTTAACATCTGATAAGGAGCAGAACTGAGACTTGAAGGTGCTAATATGTCCCTTAATTCCTTTTCCCAGTTTTCTGTCACAGAGATATTGAACTATCAGAAGTGTGATTGCACCCTGGCTGGTGTGGCTCTGAGTTGAGCACCAGCCTGCAAGACCAAAAGGTCGTCAGTTTGATTCCCAGTCAGGGCACATGCCTGGGTTGCAGATTGATGTTTCTCTCCCTCTCTTTTCTCCCTCCCTTCTTCTCTCTTTGAAAATAAATAAAATTTTTAAAAAGAAGAAGTATGCTTGTGAATAAGAAACCTGAAATAAGTTATAGTGTTAAAAACTTGAGAAAACATGTAAAGCAGTGAGAATTTCTGGTAAGATGAATTCTACCACCAGTATCTTTCAGGTGATCTGTGCTTATGGATCCAAGTGCTTATCACCATGAAAAATTAGTTGCTAGAAAATCTCAAGCATACTTCCTCTCTTCTCCATTCACCTTTATTTGTGAAAAAGAATAGAGTGCAATACAAGTACAGATACAGTGACCTTTTTATTACTGGGATACAGAGATAGATGAGTGAGACCAAATTCATAACCTCAAAGAATTTTAGTCTTGGCTTCTTCAGACTTGCATTTATCTCCAATTTATTTGTTCCTCCAAAAATGTGGGGTTATTTGGGTTTTATTGTTTTTACTTTCAGTTACTAACAAATTAAATGACCTCTGTTGCTTAATCATCAAAAAATGAAAGTTGTGTGTTTTGGTATTTCATGTTGTTAAAATCTTTAAAATGTTACCTAAATGGTGTTTTGTTCTAGGAAGTTCAATGTATTCAATATGTTCTATCCCCAGAATGCTGCAAGAAGATCCTGTTTTGTTTCAGCTTTATAAAGACCTTGTTGTGAGTCAAGTGATAAGTGCTGAGGAATTCTGGGCCAATCGTTTAAATGTAAACTCAACAGAGAGTTCTTCCACGTCCAATCATAAGCAGGATGTTGGCATTTCTGCAGCTTTTCTGGTATGTGACCCTTTAGATTCCTGAAGGGGGTGGGGGTTAAAGAAAACCCTGATTGTGTATTAACAATGCCATTTCTTTTTAAAATTTAGTATTTCCCTAAAAGTAAATTAATGGACACTTTGGTATTCATGGTATTCTTCTAAAGTATTTTTAAGTACATGCAGTATTTTTTTTTTATTTATATTTTTTCTAGTTATTTTTCTTGGTTTCTGGACTAGAGCCTAGCACGCTGGACACCAAATGGTCTTTTGAAAGAGAATCTTGTAGCAATTGGACTAATACTTATTTCCCCTAGTTCTTTCAAATTTAGGGTTTTCTGCCACCTTTCTTTTTGGTTGCTATACAATACAAAGTTAAATGTATAATGACTATCATATTATAGAAAAAATAAGATTTGTAATATGTATCTTAGAGAAAAAGTTGGAGTACCTTACCTGTGGAATCAGAGAATGGGATGGTGGAACCAAAGCAATAGTTATAGATTTTACAAAAATTTGAGTACTGATTATGTGTTTGTCATCTTTCTGTGTGCTTGGTAATGAATTAATGATATCTTTCTTAAAGAAACCAGTCAGATAATACTTCCATATTTAGTGAGAAAGGTGTGTTTTAGTTTTATAACTGTACAAGTTTATGTTAAAGCTCCTGTAGCTCTCTGTTGTTGGCCACACATGAACAGGTCTGTTTGACCAGGTAGGATTTTCAAGGAAGCAGATTTTATAGGTCAGTGTGATTACATGAAACCAGGCCAGGCTTCTTTGTCTCTGCAAAAGTAAGGTGAGGGACTTACCTCTGTCCCTAATTCGTTCAGAAAATCTTTTTTCCCACCTTGTCCAGTGTCTGTTGCATGCTTAAACATCTTCCTCCCATATTTTAACAAATACAGAGTTGGCAAAAAATAGGATTACTGTGGTAGTAGTACAAAGAAATAATAGTACAAGAGTAAACTCTGTTTCACATACTCACAACTGTAAACCTACTTTTTTCACTCCTGTATATATGGTCTTTATTTTAGGCTGATGTCCGGCCCCAAACAGATGGATGTAATGGTTTGAGATACAATTTAACCTCTGATATCATTGAGTCCATATTTAGAACCTATCCAGCAGGTAAGAAGAATCAGTTCTTTCAGATAATCAAAATATTTGTTTGGATAAATTCAGTGTTATATCAATGAAAAACAAAAGGTTTAAGTTTTATTCCTTATCAAGTGCAACGAAATACGTGAAGTACATTTTCTAGCCTCTGATATATGGTAGACATTAGGGTTTAGTATAAATTGTGCTGTCATCAATTCATTGATATAATGACTTTTCCATTCTTCTCATCAGTGATTCTTAAACTTTATGTATCCTTAGCTGTACCTGAAAAAGATCTCATCATCTATAGGCATCAATAGATGAGTTCTCCAGAGCACTAACTCAAATCGTCCTTCATGTTCCCTGCAACAGTAACCTTCCTCACAAAGTTCCCCTTGCCATTCTAAAAGTATAAATGTTTTGATCTCAGCCTTAATGGTTTATGATGTACAGCCAAGGTTGAGAGCTACTGCTTTAGTCATTTTTCTGACCAACCAGTGCTCTTTTAAACCAGTTCTTTCTCCCCACTTCCTCATTCCTGCCCCTACCTTTACCACAGGACTTTGTTCAAGCATCACCTCATTGCCGCCTCTGTAAAATCCTGACTTCTTTGGACAGATATGAGCCTCTTCCCGTTTCTTTCTGTGCGGCCTTGTGTCTGCCTCAAAGAGTTACCACATTGTAATGTAATTATTTACATACCTTTCTGATAATAATGTAATTGTATAGTGTTTGGATGTGCCAGACACCATTCTAAAGCCTTTAGATATATAAACTCATTTAGTCATCAAAAAATACCCCATGAAGTAAATACTATTGTTACCCCATATTAAAGTGTCATACCTAGAATTTTAAACTCAAGCTCTGACTCAAGAGGCCATGCTCATAATTAACCTCTACTGATAAATAGTACAGTGGGTGTTGAGGTCTTTATTTCCCCAGCACCTAACACAGTGCCTTAGATTGGAAATGCATATGCTATATATAAATAATCAAAGAAAATCCCTGGACAGGTAGCTCAGTTGGTTAGAGTATTGTCCTGACACACCAAGGTTGTAGGTTTGATCCCCGATCACGGCACATGTAAGAATCAACCAGTGAGCCCTGGTTGGTGTAGCTCAGTGGATTGAGTGCCTCAGAACCAAAGGGTTTCTGGTTCAATTCTCAGTCAGGGCACATGCCTAGGTTGCAGGCTGGGTCCCCAGTGGAGGGCACATGTGAGGGAACCACACGTTGATGTTTCTCTCCCTCTCTTTCTCCCTCTTTTCCCCTCCCTCTAAAAATAAAAATGAATACAGTCTAAAAAAAAAAAAAAGAATCAACCAGTGAATGCATAAATAAGTGGAACAATAAATCAATGTGTCCCCCCTTTCTCTCTGAAATCAATATTTTTTTTAAAAAATGTGTTAAGATTCTTAAAAAGCTAGTGCCTCACCTAACCTCTCAAGTTATATTTCATATTTATAATTAGATTATTGTATACAGAATATAAAGTTGAGAATATGAAGTTTATTTACAATCTAGTTTTTGCTACTAGTCTATATTTCAAATAATTTGAGGTTTTAAGAAGTGGAAATGTGGTGTGTAACTATTATGGTTTTTCTTCCATTCCACAGTAAAAATGAAATATGCAGAAAATGTTCCCCACAGCATGACAGAAAAGGAATTCTGGACACGTTTTTTTCAGTCCCATTATTTTCACAGGGACCGGCTGAATACAGGGTCAAAGGACCTCTTTGCAGAATGTGCCAAAATAGATGAAAAAGGTAACTGTTTATATCTGATACATTCTACCATTTAATTTGCTCTTCTCAGTGCTGTTAATGTGTTTTAATTTCTAGAAAGGTAAGACCTTTTTGGGGGGAGGGGTACATTTATTAAAGCTGGGGGTAGTGAAACAAGGGCTTAGGTTAGAAAAAGCCACAGGAGAGAGCCTAGGCAAGGCTGCTTTGGCTCTCTAGAAATGTTTTAGTACAGAAATGTGCTGAGATGGGGTTGTTTTGGCCAACTGGGAAGTCAGAGAAAAGGGGGCCTTTGGAGACATGTTCAGAGGGTTAGTACTGGACAAGCTCCAGCTGCCCATTGGTCCCCTGGTTGCAAGTCTCACGGGGTCCCTGAGAGTTTGGAGATGGACGCTTGAGAGGGGAAGGCTCAGGGTGCTCCTGGGAGGGGGAGTGTGCCAAGAAAGCTAAAAGTTGATCGGGAGTGTGCCAAGAAAGCTAAAAGTTGATCGAATTTTATTTCATTTATTTTCTAGGGTTAAAAACAATGGTTTCATTAGGAGTGAAAAACCCACTACTTGATTTGACAGCTTTGGAAGATAAACCATTAGATGAGGTAAGTAATAGTAAAGGATTTACAAGAGAAAACAGTCTTTTACTAGTCTTCAACATTTTTATAGTTCTAATTTGCCTTTAGTGAGGAAGTTCTAATTGTGAGAATGTAAATCAAACAAAATACTGTTGTGTGGAGTTATTTATCACAAGCGCTTTTCAGTAGTACTGTTCACAATTAAAGTTGCCTTGGAAAACAAATTCCTATATGAGTTGCTAAAGCTTTTTAAAAAGAATTTTCTAGCTCTCCCATCAATAGTTCTCCAGGTAATAATGAAGGCTTAACATGTTGATGAGTCTGGCTTAATGCTCTAGCTAATGTTAATCTCTACAAATGTGGATAAATATTAGTAGACAGGGAAAACATAAACATTTGTTGACTGCTATTATTTACCTACCGTGAGTGAGCCCTATACTCCACGCTAGCCCTAATCTGTTTCAACAGCCAGACCATCAAGTATGAGCTACCTACCTTAACTGATGGCTCTAAACTTAAATGTTTATCAGTCATGGAGAAAGAGGTGACACCTTCTGATAATGAAGGTGAATTCCATCCCTGCCCCTCCCTCCCTCCCTGCCTGCCTCCCTCTCTCTCTCTCTCTCTCTCTCTCTCTCTCTCTCTCTCTCTCTTTCAGATAAAAGAAACCTGCCTTCCTAGGTTATTTTTACACTCTTACGTTTTGGTTTTCTTCCCCTTTTCTGGCTCCTTTTCTGCTGGTTGTGTACAGATGCTCATACCTTCTTTATTATTTTGTTTTGTTTTTTCCCCTTTTCTGAGGCTTTATGATTTTTACTTTTCTAATTATATCTTATTGATTATGCTGTTATAGTTGCCCTGATTTTTCCCCTTTGCCCCTCTCCACCCAGCACCTGCCACTCCCTCAGGCAATCCCCCACCATTGTTCATGTGCATGGGTCATGTGTATAAGTTCTTTGGCTACTTCACTTCCTATACTGCACCACTTCACATCCGCATGGCTATTCTATAACTACCTATTTGTACTTCTTAAACCCCTCACCTCTACACCCACTCCTCCATACCCCATTCCCATCTGGAAACCATCAAAACGCTCTCTGTATCCATGATTCTGTCTCTATTATTCTTGTTTCCTTAGTTTGTTTTTAGGATTCAGTTGTTGATAGATAGGTATTTTTTGCCATTTATTGTTCATAGTTTTGATGTTTTTCTTAAATAAGTCCCTTTAACATGGTTTGGTGATGATGAACTCCTTTGGTTTTTTATTGTCTGGGAAGCTCTTTATCTGCCCTTCACTCCTAAATGATATATGTCTTTGCTGGGTAGAGCAATCTTGGCTGTAGGTCCCTGCTTTTTGAACTTTGAATATTTCTTGCCAATCCTTTCTAGCCTGCAAAATTTCTTTTGATAAATCAGCTGATAGTCTTATGGGAACTCCCCTGCAGATAACTAACTTCCTTTGTCTTACTGCTTTTAAGATTCTTTCTTTATCTCTAGCCTTTGGCATTTTAATTATAATGTGTCTTGGAGTGAGCCTTTTGCATCCATCTTGTTTGGGACTCTGCTTCCTGGATTTGCATTTCTATTCCTTTCACCAAATTAGGGAAGTTTTCTTTCAGATAGATTTCCAATCTCTTTCTCTTCTTCTGGCACCCCTGTGATGTGAATGTGGACCTCTTGAAGTTGTCCCAGAGGCTACTTACACTATCCTTCTTGTTCCGAATGATTGATTTGATTCTCGGCTTCATCCACTCTACCGTTGATTCTCTATAAATTGTTTACTGCTGTTAGTGTATACTTTGTTTCTAACTGGATCTTTTTTATGCTGTTGAGGTCCTCACATAGTTCTTTGAGCATCCTTATAACCATTGTTTTGACTGGCATCTGATAGATCGTTTATCTCCCTTTCATTTAGCTCTTTTTCTGGAGTTTTGATCTGTTCTTCCAATTGGGCCATGCATCTTATCTCATCATTTTGGCAGCTTTCTTGTGTTTGTTTCTATGTATTAGGTAGAGCTGCTTGGCCTCTGTGCCTTGGTAGTGTTGCCTAATGTAGTAGGTGTCACATAGGGTACAGTTGCACAGCCTCCTCTGCCTCCAAAGCTGGGTACTTGACATGTGCCCTCTGTGTGGGCTCAGTATAACCTCCTGTTGTAGTTGAGCCTTGGTTGCTGTTGGCAGATCAATAGGAGAGATTTACCCAGGCCAGTCAGTTGCAAGGACTGACTGTGACCACTTAACCACCAACCTCCAACTCTGTGTACGATTCAGCTGAGCTGGGTCAACATGGTGGTGCTTCAACCATGGTCTGTAGTTGTCCACTGGGTGTGCTGGCCCTGCGGTTTCTCGGGTGGTACAAGCCAAGGTCAGCCCCCACCTGTGCTTTGCTGGGGGCAACCATGCCTGAGCTGTAAAACAATCAGAGGGCTGCTACTTGTGCTGGCTTGGAGATTCCCAGATGAAGCCAAGCTATGAATCCAGGCTGGCTACTGCTGATGCCAGGGCTGATGCCAGGCCTGCTGCTCACTTGAGGCCAGCTGTTGCCTGTTTGAGAGGATTTAGGAAGTTGTGAGGGGTGAGCCAAGACCAGCCATTCATATGGAAAGGCAGCTTCGGTGGGCCCATAATTTGGGTGGAGCATAGTCTCTGGGGATCTCCAAGGTGGGTCACAACAGTGTTAGCCAGGTTGATGGAGTCTCAGATGTGGCACCAGCTTGTAAGCTCTGTAGTGGGAGGGTTTAGAAAAGAGACAATGGCTTCTGCTTGCCTTGATGCCAGACACTTCACTTTCTCCCTGTATACCACCCATGCCTTTCAAGCTGCTATCCCAGTGCTGGGTTACCCCTCAGAGGGAGTGAATCGGTCTAAGTGTGTGTGTGAGTTCTTTAAGAGGAACTGCTTGGAGCTCCAGCAGTTTCTTCCACCCTCTCAATCCCCACTGGTTTTTGCAGCCAGAAGTTGTGGGGACTTATGTTCCTGACACTGGAAACCTGAGCCATGGGGCTTGGTGTGGGGCTGGGACTCCTCACTCCCAAGTTATCCCTCCCAAATTTCTATTCATCACACATGGGTGAGGGACCAGTCTATTCCATGTCTGCTCCAGTCTTACCAGTCTGGATGGATGTGGTTTCTTTAATTCCTTAGTTGTCAGACTTCATTGAACTCAATTTCTGATGGTTGTGAATGATTGCTCTATATTTTAGTTGTAATTTTGATGTAGTTGTGCAAGGAGGTTGTACCATGTCTGCCTATGCCACCATCTTGACTGGAAGTCCCTCTTCCCCCTGCCCCCCTCAACTTTCCTCTAGTTTTAGTATATTTACTCTCCATGTGAGAAAACCAGTGTTAAAATTGTGTTGCACAGTCTAGATTATATATTTTTAAAAATTACTTTTGGTCCCAGGTAAGTCATTTCCATAATGAAATTCAGGTTTTTCTTGGTGATTCTCAGCACTCAGTGACTTCCTTGATGAATTTCAACATATTACAGATAGAACCCTCTTAATCATCCTGAGAGAATGAAATTTTAGAGAAGCTTAGAGATTGTAGCTTACTTAATGTGATGAGAAAAAAGATTTTGTGCTTTTTTAAAAAATAAAAGTATGGTATATTATTACATGTATATGTGTAACTTTCTTCTTCACTTTGCCTATTTCCAGTATCAGTCCATGCTAAATATGCCATAATTGTCAAGTTCATAGACTTTAAAACAAATTACTTGGCTTAGACTCCGTCTTGTTCTTTTTTTAACACTGCTAAATCCAGTTTTCTTATAAAATGAGGTTAAAAGCACTGACCATGGAAAGGTGTAGGAGAATTAGGAAGATGTTTAAGGGAACAAAAAGTTTTGTAGTACTAATGCACAACACGATCAGCAGTACTGTGTTACATATTTCGAAGTTGCTAAGAAACTAGATTGTAATTGTTCTCACCACAAACAAAGAAATGATAATTATGTGGCAGTGATAGAGGTGTTAGCCTCAGTGAAAATCGTATTACAGTATTTAAATGTATCTAATCAGGCCCTGGCCAGGTAGCTCAGTTGGTTAGAGTGTCATCCCGAGACACCAAGTTTGCGGTTAGATCCCCAGTCCTGGCACGTACAAGACTCAGCCTGTGAATGCATAACTAAGTGGAATGACAAATCTTAGTGTCTGTCTGCCTGTCTCTCTCTCTTTCACTGTATCTGTTAACTATTATTTTCATTTTTTTAGTGCCTGCATCTTATTCAGTTGTATGGATGTGTAAGTGATCGATCCCCTTAAAAGAAATGTTGGTTGATTCACTTCATTTTTTCCTTTGGTTGTGTGTCTTCCCTTATCATCCTCTAGTCGTCATAACTGTCCCAGGATATTGTCTTGGGCCTCCTTCTAAATGCATTCTCTGTATTCCATTGCCTTAAATACTAAATAAACAATGACTAATACCAAACAGTGCTGGTCTGTCTAATCCCAGAACTCCAAAATCATTCAACTGCCTACTTGGTATCTTCACCTAGATACTTCACAGACACCTCAACATAACATGTCCAAAATGGAACCTTTGATTTCCATCATCACAAACCTGTTTCTTCCTGGGTCTTCCTTATCTCAGTAAAAGAACATTACCATGAATTCATTTGCTCAAGCCAAAACCTAGGAGTTTCCTTGATTCCTCGCTGCCCTTCACCTCTAGAAGATCTGTCTTCATCTCTTTATCTCCACAGATACTTACACCCTCTTGCTTTTAGGCTGCCGCCATCTTTGGCTTGATTGTTTGCTTTAGCTTACTAATTGTTCCAATTTCTGCTTTGTTCCCTACAGGTCAGTCTCTCATATCAGTAAGAGTTAAAAATCAGATCATAACATTGCTCTACATAAAATTCTTAAATGGCTTCTTATTGAACTGAGAATAAAATCAAAACTCCTGCAAGGCCTTTCTTGATTTGGCCTCTGCCTACTTCTACCTCAGTCTGGGCTACTTCCACTCATTAATGCTCCAGACACAATGGCCTTCAAAACTATCCCAAGTTTTTTCTACCTCAGGGTCTTTACTATGTCTTCTAGTTTTTCCAACTAGCTTCTACCCATCTTTTAGATATCTGTTCTAATGTCACTTTTGCAGAGAGACTTTTTCTAACCTCCCAATCTAAAGTAGCTCCCCCTCCCAATCCAGTCACTACCTCGTCTCTTTCTCTTTATTTTCTCTATGACATTTGTCATTTTCAAAAGTGATCTTGTTTTACTTGTCAATTGTCAGCCTTATATTTCACCAATGTCTGGCCCACTTTTCATTGCAGTTATACTTAGCTACATATAACTCATGACACATTGTGTATTTCATTGTATCTTTAAGTAGTTTGCCCATCATGGAATGTTATCTCCATGTCTGCCTTGCAATATGGTACTCCACAAAGCTTTTCAAACTACCCCTCCTCTCCTCCAGTGGGCTTGACCGCTTTCTCATAGCACCCGTCAGTCTTAACTGTGTGTACTGGCTTGTTACAGCCTAGCATCCCACTAACTAGTATTTTGGCTCCTTTGGCACAAGGTCTTGTCAACTTTGTAACTACAGGGCCAAACCATAGCATGCATTCAGTATACATTTGAAAATATTATCTCATTTAATTCTCCAAATAACCCATTTTATAGAGGTTGCCTAGACTAACATCATAAAACTGATAAAGCCAGAAATTGAATTCATATCTATCTGACTTCAAAAGTTAATGCTTTTTTTCCCACTGTATTCTGTTCTTTGATTTAATATTTTGCTAATTAGGTCCAAAATTACTCTTCAAAAAATGCAGAGCTCGTGTTAAGATTTTTTTAAAGGTTTTATTTACTTATTTTTAGAAAGAGGGGAAGAGAATTCGAAAGAGAGGGAGAGAAACATCAATGTGTGGTTGCCTCTCACATGGCCCCCACTGGGGACCTGGCCTGCAACCCAAGCATGTGCCCTGACTGGGAATCAAACTGGCGACCCCTTGGTTTGCAGCCCGCACTTAATCCACTGAGCTACACTGGCCAGGACTCAAGTTAATGTTTTTTGATGGTGGTAAAAGAGTTAGTGGCATTTCTTAATTTTTTTATGTGTATAATTTCACTTTTAATGTATCACTATAAAGATACAGTAGTGCTCAGACTTAGTAAAATCCCATCATCCAGAAAATTTTTTCAGTTAAACATGTATCTTAACAGATAAAATCAGAACTTTATTTTGATTTTTAATCTACTAAATTGTCTTATAGGGTTATGGCATTTCCTCTGTGCCATCCACTTCTAATTCTAAATCCGTCAAGGAGAACAGTAATGCTGCCATCATCAAGAGATTTAACCACCACAGTGCCATGGTCCTGGCAGCAGGTCTCAGGAAACAGTTAAGTACACATGCAAGGCGCAGTGCCTGGGCTTTCCGGAACAGCCAAGATGAGCTGCGATGGTGTTCTGCCTGTGATTAACATGCATTTCTTTTCCTTGTTTTTAGAGAAGCACAAAATGAACAAAATGGTGAGCCCAGCAGCGTTGATGGAAATTCCAGAGATGCAGACTGTTTTCAGCCAGCAGTCAAAAGGGTATGGGTAAAAAGTTGGGAATATTTAAGGCTCAGATTTCTCCAGATATCTTATGTAATTGTTAGTATTTTATGTTGATTCTTGATTATTTCAAATGACTCGGTACTTCTGACCACGTTAAACATTTGGCTTAAATTCTAGAACACTTTAAAAAGTACTTCCTCAGTTTTGTCTTGCCAGTCAACCTTCCATGGACTCAAGTCTTTTAACTATTTTTATTATGGTTTTTCTCTGCCTTCACGTGCACGCGTATGCACATATTGATGTATAGTCCTGTTTTCCAGGGGAAAATATTAAACAGTGAAAGAAAGAAAAACTGAAGGTTTGTGTATAATGATTTTAAAAGATAGGATTTGGCCCTCATATTAAACCTAGCATTTCTTTTGTTTCTTTCTTTTTTTTTTTTTTTTTTAAGATTTTACTTAGTTATTTTTAGAGTGGAAGGGAGGAAGAAAGCAAAAGGACAGAAACATAGATGTGTGGTTGCCTCTTACACACCCCCAGTTGGGGACCTGACCAGCAACCCAGGTATGTGCCCTGCCTGGGAATCGAACCGTTGACTCTGGTTCGCAGGCCGGCACTCAGTCCACTGAGCCACCCCAGCCAGGGCTAAACCTAGCATTTCACAGGTACATAGGTCTTTTCATTAAATATTGAAGAAATCGCCTTGGCCAGGTAGCTCAGTTGGTTAGAGTGTTGTCCCAGTAGGCCAAGGTTGTGAGTTTGATACCTGGTCAGGGCACATGCAAGAATCAACCAGCAGCCCTGGCTGGTGTGGCTCAATGAATTGAGTGCTGGCCTGTGAACAGAGGGGTCGTTTTTTCAATTCCTAGTCAGGGCACATGCCTGGGTTGTGGGCCAGGTCCCCAGTGGGGAGGTACATGAGAGGGAACCACACATTGATGTTTCCCTCTCTTTCTCCCACCCTTCCCCTCTCCCTAAAAATAAATAAATAAAAATCTTTTTAAAAAAGAATCAATCAATGAATACATAAATAAATAGGACAACAAATCTGTTTCTCTTTCTCAAATCAATTTTTTAAAAAATTTAAAAATTGAAGAAATTGCACTGATTGGTGTAATGCAGTTGATTGGAGAAAAGAAATCAAGAAGACCAAAAAAAAATTTCAGAAGTACCTGGTTGGTTATCTCTTTTGGTTAAAGCATCATCCCAGTATACCAAGGTTGCAGTCAGGGCACATACAAGAATCAACCATTGAGTGTGTAAGTGAGCGGAACAATAGATCAATGTTTCTCTCTCCCCTTTCCTCCCCTCCCTCCCTCCCTTCTCTTTTCTCTTAAAAAAAAAAAATAATAAAAAAAGAAAGACATAAAGAGTTCAAAGTAACCCAGATACATGGAGGATTAAGAGTATGATAAACATGGCATTTCAGAGTCAGTGTGAAAAGACAGATTATTCTGCAAATGGTGTTAAGATGCCTGATAAATAATTCAGTAAAAAAGCTCAGATTCCCTACTTTACTCATTATTCTAAAATAAATTCCAAGTGGATCAAAGATTTAAGCAAAAATTAATCCACAGAAGATGAAGCAAAAAGGGAATAATTTTTTTAAACCATAGGAAAGTATTTATAACACATACAATAAAATTAGTTTTTTATTTATTTGGCGGGGGAGTAGAAAAATATACATTTTTACCTACCAGATTGTCAAAAATTAAAAGTTTAATCGTAATTACAGTGTAGGAAAACAGGTATTCTCTGTAATTGATTGCCGAGAAAATGGACTTAACATCTGTAGAGGAGTCATCTCTAGGAAATGCAGCTCATGGGGGGAAGACTTCATAATTTACCCTCTGTGCAGTTTTCCTTTTTAGTCATATGTATTACTTTTAGTCATATTCAGTACTTTTATAAGGGACAGTTACAATAAAAGGTGTTGTGTTAATAATTATAGGCGAAGTTACAAGAGTCCATTGAATATGAAGACTTGGGAAAAAATAATTCCATAAAAACGATTGCACTAAACCTCAAGAAGTCAGATAGGTAAGTTTGGTTGATACAGCACAAGTTATTGCAGAATATATTCTGCTAGAATAGCATTCAAGTTTAGTCAGTTTGTTACCATAACAGTACAGTATTTTTTTTGCTTAGAAAGGTACTTTGTGCACCTCGGGAAAAGATCCTAAATGATCAAAGCCAGGAAAATAAATACTGTCTCTCTCTGCTTTTTGCATCTTATTTTATGTGAAGTAAATCATTTTATTGAAATCTATCTTTTTTGCTTTGTAGAAAATGTATTGAGACTGCTAAAATATATGGAAAACAAATATTGAGCACCTTTATTCTGTGTAATTTCTTTCTTTCTTTGCTAACCTTCAGGTATTATCATGGTCCGACCCCTATCCAGTCACTACAGTATGCGACAAGTCAGGACATTATTAATTCTTTTCAAAGTATTAGACAAGAAATGGAAGCTTATACACCCAAATTAACTCAGGTGGGTAACTTGTAGTGTTTGAAAACCAGAATTCCCACACACAATTACTTCCTCATTTTATGCACACAGCCAAATTGAACTATATAACTAATATTTCATTGCATTTAAAAACATAATTTTGCTAAATTTTTAAAATCAAGAGGTAGGGAGGGAAGGCATTTGGCATATTCAAGAATTATCTGAAGATAAGACGATAATGAAAAATAATGAGTTTCATGGTTGCTAGAATTTCCTTCCATACGTATACACAGTTTTATTGTTAAATTCTTTCCAAATTCTTCTGGCTGTCACTCTCTAGATAATCTGCATGACCTCACAGCCCACTATTCTTCATTTTCCCCGTCCTTATTTATACTTTAGTTGGTCTTCAATTTCTGTCAGTTTTTCAGTATTTCTTAATCACCTTGGTTTAAGCAAACCTGATCAGTTTTTTATACTGCCACTGCAAGTTATCTTTCTAAAAACATAAATATGAACTTACTACTCTGCAGCCTGAAAACCTTCACTGCCCCCACTTTGTTGCCACAGTAATTATCTGAATGCCCTTGTCTGGCATGTCAGACCCTTTTCAATCTGGCCTAACCCACACCCACATCTTCAGTCCCAGCTCCAGCCATATCTCCACCATCCCCTTCCACACACAACGAAGAGTCCTGTACTCCAGCCAAACACACTAAACTACCTAGAGTTGTTTAATCATATTGTCATCATGCTTCCTATGCTTTTTTTGCTCTTGTTTTTCTCTCTTCTTAGAATGCCCTTAGCCTGTTCTGTCCATGGTGAACTGATAATAATTATTCAAGACTCACTTCGGATTTCATTGCCTCTGTAAAGCAATCCTGAACATGCCCAGTAATGAGATTTTTCCATTTCTGTTTTTATAAATACGGAGGCACTGACTTCGTACCTGTATTATAGTGCTTATCACATATTGGCACTTACATTTACTCTTTATTTTGAAGTAATCTCAGATTTACAGAAAGATGAAAAAAATCTTTTCTGACCAATTTTGAGAGTAAATCCCTTTACTCCTAAATATTTCAGTGTGTATTTCCTAAAACAAGACATTCTTACAAATAATACAATGAGGTTACAGAACAGTAAGTTAACAACTAATAAAGTATATCTAACCTAAAGAACTTACAGAAATTTGCCAGTTGTAACACTAAAGTCCCTTACAGCAAAAGAAAACTCCTTGGTCCAACATCTAAGTCATGTTCATGAGTTGCATTTAGTTCTCATGTCTCTTTAGTCTTCTTCAAAATGGAATCATGTCTCAGTTGATTGGGCATCATCCTGCAAGGCCCAAGGTCACTGGTTCAATTCCCAGTCAGGACAAATCCTGGGTTGCAGGTTTGGTCCCCAGTTGGGTCAGGGCATGTGTGAGAGGCAAGCAATAAATGTTTTTCTCTTTCATTGATGTTTCTCTCCCTCTTCTTTCTCCCTCCCTTCCCCACTCTCTAAAAATTAAAAAATAAAATGGAATAGTTTTCCAGTCTTTCTTTCCCTTCATGACCCTGATATTTGTAGAGTACAAACTAGTTTATTGTAGAACGCCCTCAAATTGAGTTTCCCTAATGTTGCCTTAAAATTGGATTCATGTTACGTATTTTTGGCAGGAATACCACAGAAGTGATATATAAGTGATATGTTATCCTCACATCAGGAGGCACATACTTATTTGTCCTAACTTGTTATATTAACTTGGATCACTTCGTTAGGTTAATATCTGCCTAATTTCTCTACCAAAAAGTTACTGTTTTCCCCTTTACAATTAGTATCTTGTGGGAAGATACTTTAAGGCTATGTAAATATTTTATTTCTTTTCAAACTTTTGCCCACTAGTTTTTTTAGAACCCATTGATGATTCTTGCTGAAAATAAGTATTACCATGCTGGTGGCTAAAGGATGATTTTCTAATTCCATCATCCATTCTACATTTATCAGTTGGCATTCTGCTAAAAGGAGGAGTTTCCTTCCCTTCTGTATTGACGTATATCAACATAGATCCATGGATTCTTACATTACTCTGTGGGTTATAAATTGTTCCTTTCTTTTTAACTAAGGTATAATTTACATATAATAAAATTCACCTTTTTTACAGCTCTCATTGTCTCTTGTTCTGCGTTTTAATAAACATACACAGCTGTATAACCACCAGCACAATCAAGATAAAAAAGTTTTGTCCCCAAAATGTACGCATTCCCCCGTAGTCAGACCCTTCCAATCCTTTCAGACTGGCTTCTATATTGGTCTGGTAATGTCCTTATCAGTTTTTGAGCACCTCCTTACTTTACGGCACAGTGAGATACATGTTCCAGATTCATCTTACACTTTCCCTGCCCCAGCCACAGAATCTTCCTTGTATTACCAAGTAGATTTAGAAACCAAGATCCCAGTGTTGGGTGGGGTGTCAGTGCTGTTGGGGTGTCATTGGCTGGTGATGTTAGAGCTAGGAAATGCCTGTATTCACATACATGTACACACAGCAGATTGCAGCTTATTTGACTACTATTCCTTCTAGACTGTAATTGCCCAACATCTGGCCCTTGGGCCCAAGTAAACCCACCTAACTTTATACTCTCATCAGTCATATTAAGTATGTAAGTAAGATTGTCCTCACATTGACCTTTCTGCACTCCCCTGCACCCCAAAGATGTGCTTTTATCTGAAACATGTGCATTGAGTCTGACGGCCCAAGTATCTGTCCTCATGTGTGTGTACCTGAGTACAGCTAGGAGCTAGTCAACGAGCTTGGCAATTACAGAAGATTGTGGTTACAATGTGTTACAAGTTTCAGACAAAATAGGAGTAAAGTGCACTCCCATGTCCCTTTGACTCATGGTTGTCATGTGCTGTACACTACACCAAGCTTAAAAATTTGTTTCTAATCAAGCCAATTTACACATGGATTCATACTACAACTCCATTGAAAAACTTGAGATGCACTAACCCTGCACTTGGGCCATTCAACAGATGATTTGTTCCTCACTATAGCCACAGTACCTAGCACTTGCAGGCACCCATTGAATGGATAGGTCAGTTATGTTCCTAAATGTGGGTACTGACACAGTGAGGAATACATTCTTTCCTCTTTTAGCTCAGTGTATTTACTTCTTTAAAAATGACAAACGATGTATTTCTACTCTGTTGGGTGTTTTGTTTTTTCCCAGCTGCCAGCAAGTATATTATTAACATGTTTTACTTAGTTCCTTTCTTTAAACTCAATTTTACTTTCAAGGGTAAGAGTTCACAAGTTAAGTTGAATTGATGCTCAAGAAAAGGCTTGACTAAGCAAAAGATCACATGAGTTTTGAGGTACCTATAGACTTGCGTCCTATTCCTAGAAGATTGGTAGTTATTCTCTTTCTACACAGACCATGTTTCTAGCCTCATGGAAAGCAGTTCGCTCTGGTGAACTTGCTATAAACTGCATATTTATACAGTAATAAAGACTTACTGGACATTCTGCTGTAACGCTGACATGTTATCTAAGAAAGATGTCCAAAAAAGAGAAAAACCACTTTTCGTGTTTCCTTTCAGGTTCTTTCAAGTAGTGCCGCCAGTAGTGCCATCACAGCACTGTCACCCGGAGGAGCACTTATGCAGGGAGGGACACAACAAGCCATAAACCGTATGTGCTGGGCTACCTTCTGTCGCTATCCCTTTACTTATGTAAGCTCTTAAGTTGAGAGGAGGCTAAAGTTTTGTTGGCTTTGCTTTGAAACATTTCTGGGGGTTTTGTTTGTTTTCGTGCATCCAGATCCTTATGTCTGGACAATAACTTAGGTTTCAGAATTATCTTAATATTACCATGGCATGTTAGTGGTCTCTGTATCCTAAAAGCTTTCTTTTTTTCTCACCTACCTCTTATAATGAAGGGCAACCTTAAAAGTTTTTCCAAAATCCCAAAGGAATTTAAATTCTGTGATCTGTCAGCGACTATATTAGTAACTTAACTCAGAAGAGCACATCCTGGTTTGGCATCAGCAAAGAGTTAATGTTAAAATTTCTTCTCTGAGTGGTCCTTTCAGATACTGTCCATACTAGAAAAGAACTTTTATCCTATGGATCTTTCTTTTGCAGAGATGGTGCCAAATGATATTCAGTCTGAATTGAAACACCTGTATGTGGCTGTTGGAGAACTACTTCGGCACTTCTGGTCCTGCTTTCCTGTTAATACACCATTCCTAGAAGAAAAGGTCAGAACCAGTTCCAAACACAGCCAGCTATTAACAGTGGTGTGGCTTGATGGAGTATTATTTTGAAATTGGAAAATTGTATTAAGTGTTTGCCATGTGCTAGACATGTGATCACTACTTTGCATACATTATTTAAACCTCACAGCATCCTGATGAAGGTAGGTATTGATACCAATTTTAAAGTTTAAGAAACTTCAGTGTAGACCAGTTCCATAACATATGATCATACATCTTAAAATTTGTATTTACATCTAAGCCACTGGAATGATAGAAGAACAGAGACCCAAAAGAAGTCACATCAGTAAAATTTGGTAGTGTGTCTTTTTTTTTTTTTTTTAGATTTTATCTATTTATTGTTAGAAGGGAAGGCAGGGAGAAAGAAAAGGAAAGAAACTATCAGTGTATGGTGCCTCTCGTGCACCCCCTACTGGGGACCTGGCCCAGCAACCCAGGCATGTGCTCTGACTGGGACTCAAACCAGTAACTTTTTGGTTCACAGGCCAGTGCTCAATCCACTGAGCCGTACCAGCCAGGGCTAAAATTTTTTATTTGGTACATAATTTAGGGGTAATTAAATCTAAACTGAGATTGACAACAAATACAGCAATAGCTCTTTAACACTAAAATCCCTTTAACCAATTAAAGGCTAGTTGACATATAGAAAAGTATTTGAAGCATCATCCCATGCACCAAGAGACTGTGGGTTTGATCCCCAGTCGGAGAGCATATGGAAGGCAACCAGTTGACGGTTCTCTCATCCTCCCTCACTCTGTAAAATCAGTGAAACATATGCTCAGGTGAGGATTAGAAATAATTATAGTAATAATAGCTTTGCTGTATAACTTGCTCTTATAATCAATTTTTAAGAGAAAGATAAATGTCCCATTAAAAAAACAATAGGCAGCCCTGACTGATGTGGCTCAGTTGATTGGGCGTGATCCTGCAAATAGAAAGGTTGCCGGTTTCATTCCTAGTCGGGGCACCGGCCTGAGTTGCCCATTTGGGGACATGCAAGAGACAACTGATCAATGTTTCTCTCTCACTTCGATGTTTTTCTCCCTCTCTCCCCCATCCTCTCTCTCTAAAAATAAATAAAATCTTTTTTAGGAAATAATAGGCAACAGAATTTTTTCAATTTAATGATTTTTTAGGGAGGGAGGGAGAAAGAAAGAAAGAGAGAAACATCAATTTGTTCCACTTATTTATGCATTCATTATTTGCTTCTTGTATGTGCCTTGACTGGGGATCAAACCCCACAGCCTTGGCATATCAAGACAACACTGTAACCAACTCAGCTACCCAGCCAGGGCAACAAATGATTTTTAACAGGCATCTGACTAAAGAATGCAAGTGACCCAATAAACCTAGGGAGGAAATTTTCATACTCACTAGTATTCAAGTAAATTATCTTTAAAGATACAGTGAAAGAACATTTTTACCTGTAATCTGCAAATGAACAAAAAACTTAAAATGATCAGTGTTGGCTGAGTTACTAAGAGTTTTTTCTTTCACTACTACTAGTACTGCATTTTTAAAAATGCCTTTACCCAGAAATTCAACATTTAGAAATTTAATTTAATTAAGAATGTGTATAGATATTTAGCCATTGAGATGTTCCTCTACCACCGTCTATGAAAGAAAATGTGGAACTAACCTAAATATCTACCAGAAGGTGATTGGTTAAAGAAGCATTTGTTATGCTCATACATTGAAATACTATACATCTATTTTAAATGATGAGTTGGGTGAGTATTTAATGACTGATAGATATTCATATTAAAATAAATGAAATTTTAAAACAGTATGTACAGTGTATTTTCTACATCTATGCTTTTTTTTTTTTTCCGTTTTGCACTTGTGAGAATTTAATGAATTCCCATCCATGTGGCTTCAAGCTACCAGCACACAAGCCCCATCAACAATCTTAATCTTCTCCTCAGCTCTTCTGCTAAAAAATTCATCCTTCAGCCCTGGCTGGTATGGCTCAGTGGATTGAGCACTGGCCTGCAAACCAAAGGGTCACCAGTTCAACACCCAGTCAGGGCACATGCCTGGGTTGCAACCCAGGTCCCCAGTGGGGTGCACAAGAGGCAACCACACATTCATGTTTTTCTTCCTCTGTTTCTCCCTTGCTTACCCCTCTAAAAATAAATAAAATCTTAAAACAGAAAAAAAAAAGAATTCATCCTTCACAGTGGCAGGCTGCTTTGGGAGCTTTCCCTCCCCTAGAACTTTGTAGTAGCCCGATTGCACTGCATCAATAACAGGAGCAGCTCCAGTCTTGTTTTTGGCAGCGTTGACCTGTGTCTGCTCACTGTCCAAGGTCCACAGTTTATCCAGGGTGATAGTGGGGCAGCGGCTCTGGTTCCTCTTAAGTGGTGGTGCCTCATACCAACTTTCCCAAAGTAACCTGGGTGATATTTGTTGAAGTTGATCCTGTGATGATGCAAGCCCCCAGCATTTTTTTGGCCTTCCGGGTGCTCCCTGTGTTTGGCAATGCTGCCGTGGCCGTGACTCAAATGGCCCCAATGTTTCCCGGTCTTCCTCAGTCTGGATGGCGTGTTGGTGGCCAAAATGCAAGAGAGAAGCCTCCACAAAGTCTCCTATATCTGTGCATTTACACACACGAACAAAAAATGTTGAAAAGGATATGAGTTATGGACCAAAGTATTAATGGTCTGTGAATGGTGGGATGTAAAAAGAACTTTTTTTTTAAAGATTTTATTTATTTATTTTTAGAGAAGGGGAAAAGGAGAGAGAAAGGGAGGGAGAGAAACATAGATGTGAGAAACATCCATCGGTTGCCTCTTGTAAATGCCCCAGCCAGTGATTGAACTTGAAACCAGGCATGTGCCCTGAGCAGGAATTGAACCAGCAACCTTTAGCTTTGCAGAACAATGCCCAACCAACTGAGCCACACCAGTTAGGGCAATTGAATATGTTTTTATTTTCTACCTTTTGCATTTTTTTAATTTTTCTGCAGCAGCCATTGTTTTAGGGATAGATTTTATTTTAATCTAATTACATTAGATATTGCTTCTCTGCCTGGTGGAGCTAATTAATCAAAAAATAAATGAATAACCCTCCTATGTGTATTTTGATTTCTGTAGACACTTTGAAATTTCTCTGTAATTTATTATTTCTCTCACCTTTTTTAGGTAGTGAAAATGAAAAGTAATTTGGAACGATTCCAAGTCACAAAGCTCTGCCCATTCCAAGAAAAAATTCGAAGACAGTATTTAAGCACAAACGTAAGGCAACAGTCTGATTTTGACCTGGTTTTCTGTGTAGCAAAGTGATTAAATTAACTTTGTTTTCCTGTGAATGAATAGATACATTGTTTTTTCTTCTCCTGTTCAGAGTATTGTTTTTAACTGTAAAATAATAAATATCTGTGTGCCCACCAGTCACAGTAAGAAATAGAATGTTTCCAGTACCCACAGGTATTTCTTGAGGGCCCCTGTCCAGTTCCCTACCCCTCCCTCACTCTCCCAGGACCATGATCAATAATCACCTCCATGCTTTTCTTTAGAGATTTGCAACCCATGTGTGTGTTCCGTAAAAATATTTATTTTGAAAATGTGAACAGTAAGCACAAACCTAACAATGTAAAGAAAGGAGGACTTGCCCCTCTGTGGTAGTAGATTGAACAGTTCCTGGGTTATGGTCTGTCTGAAGCTTCCCAGATTGTTTACATCAGGGTGGGCAGTCGATAGGGTACTGAGAGAAAAGTGTCCCTTTATGCCCAGGGTGTTTAGCTTTATTTTTATGCAAGGCTAGAGCAATCACAAGACTTTTTCTGTATGTGTCATGCAAATCCTCTCAGAGATGATGGGAAAGAATAGTATATACAAACTTAGGATTCAGTATTTCAGTAAGGTAGAGTTTTACAGTTGAAAGCTGAAAAATCTTCGTAAGATTATACTCACATGTTCTAAGTGGGTTTTCTCAAAATATAACAGTATTATAACAGAAAAGTGGCTTGAAGTGTGTCTTCCTGCAGCGGTGCAAGGATGATTTTTATATAGTTTCTCAACAAAACTAAAACATACACACACACTCATAACGATGACAGGTGTAAATCAGGGTGATTTTTTTTTTAAACTCCACCTCAGATTGAATGAGTCATTGACACGATGAAAGGATTTAGGACTTCCTGATTTCCATCCCTATGCTGCCGGAATCACCCGTGGAGACTTTACAAGACTTACTTGCAGCCACATAAACACTGTCTGCCTCCAAGGAAACAGATATTCCAAAGGCACTCTACCTCAGGGGTCTTTATTAGCTTAGACCAGTATGGTCCTATTGACTTTCAGTTATGTCCATGATGAGGGCAAATTTTTTTTCTACTCAGAAGATACAGTGCTGACCTAAGTAAGATGTGGCATACCATTGTGTGAAGCATTCAGACGATTTAGATTTTTTGTGACCCACTGAGTGATACTGGCATCCTGAAGTGTTGGAGCTGGAAAGGCCATAGAGGATGTAGAGGAGTGCTTCACAAAGATTGGCTGTGCAGCACGGTTAGCTGCGGGACCTTTGGAAAATCAAAGGTTCCTGGGTTTCCTCACAGACCTGCTGTATCAGACTCTTCAGGGGATGTAGGCACTTTCCCAATGTTCTGCAAGGTAATGTGGGTACCGCCATCCTGGCCTTAGTCAACAGACTGATGTTCAAGTCTAGAAACCACCAGTTTAACTGTTCATGTCCCTCATTTGACAGAAGAAACTGAGGCCTAGAGCACAGTTAGGACTCTCATGTTGTGCCATAACTGGTGATGACAGGTCATCACAGCCTCTACTGTACCCCACCATCTCTCTGACCTTTCTGTACAAAATGCGTCTGATAACACCTTCACAGGGGCTTGCACGTTGCCTTATTGGGGAAATACAAGTGAGCTTGGAAACTACACTCAAGTACATGCCGGATCTGAACTAGAAGCATTAAGTTCCCCGGCCTTTGCCCAGTTGTTGTTTAAGTGTCTTGCTATGTTTTTCAGTTGGTAAGTCACATAGAAGAGATGCTCCAGACAGCCTACAACAAGCTCCACACGTGGCAGTCACGGCGTCTGCTGAAGAAAACGTGAAGTGTCTGTGGCTCGCAGGTTGTGTGAGACCGAGAACCGTGGCCTGCAGTGTCTCTGGAAACCTGGCCTGAAGACATGCAGATGATCACCCACAAGTGACAGGAAACATCTGCACCACGCCAACTTTCGGAGCTGATGCTTTTGTACTTGCACATTGTGAACTGAAAGGAAAGGGACTGATTAAACTAATAGCTGGGGAGGTAAATTAAGGCAGAACCAAAATGAGCTAAGTTGCAAATATATATATATATATATATATATGAATATATTTTTAAAAGACACTGTTTACTGCAGTTACTCAGGAACTGCTTTGATTCATATTAAGCTGCTGCTTTCGGAAATTAAAAAAAAAACACTTTTTAAAAGGGTGCATTGATAAAATCTGAGGTTTTTGTTGTTTTCTGTGTAAATTTTTTTTCTAAGTTTATGGCACAGGGTACACCTTAAGTATTTCTCCTCCATCCTCTACTTGGATCCTCAAGTTTTAGTGAATTCTAATTGTACCTTACATCAGCAAGTTAAAGAGACTGCTTTAAAGTAAGCCAGAGGGAGACTGTTGCTCAACCATCAGGAAACAGTTGTGCTCAGAAGACATCATGGTCCTGTGTTTCCTACGGAAATAAGAAACAATAAATATTGCACTGAATGTGGTTTGGAGTCCCTAAACGATAAAGAGGGAACATAATTTGCAGAAAGTCGTGTGGGGTTTTTATGCAGAATTTTGTCAGAAGACAATGGTGCTGCATGTTTTGTTTTTTTTTTTGAGTGCAAATGTACATTGCTAAGTTTTTTTTAAGATGGCATGTGCTTTGAAAGAAGGAAATTGCATTTTTAAGAGTTTAAAATAATCTTATGAGTGAGAAATATAAGAAATTTTATTTTCACCTCTTTAGAAAAAAAATAAAAGATGTTTCTCATATCTCCTTTTCTGCAGTATCTGACTGTTACTATCCTTGGCGATTTGATAATCATTGCGTAGTGACTGAAAAGCCTAAGCAAAAAAAAAAAAAATCGTTCTTATGTCCTTGTTTATGGAATTCGTGCTGTGCCATATTTTGTTCCTAATAGGATCAACTGTTTAAGACTAGATGTCCTGTATTAAAAGTTACAGAAAAAAGTAAAACTTTTTATAGCTGCTCTTTTATCTGTAACATATCTTGTGGTTTCTCCTTATGTGTGATATTTACTTGAGTGGACTGCTCAGAGCTACTTGTCCTTTTTTAAAGCCGTTATACTAGCTGCTTGTCTTTCAGATAACGGCCACAGTAAGTCACAGCCCGTTCAGACTTTTCAACTGGCAAAGGAAAGAACGTCACTTTCCTCATTTCTCTTTCAGATCTGTGTAGTATGGTGTGTGACACCTTACACCTTAGAGTTTTACAGAGTGCTCTTCCAGTGCGTTACCACCACAGCCACTCGAAGGAATGGCGATAGAGCAGATGGAAGAATGAAGTAGCAGAGTATGTCTCTTGGGAAAGGTAGATGTAAAGAACTAAAATGCTTTTTTAAATATGCTGTTAAAGGTTAAGTGATAAATATAATTGAACCTGAAAAAAGGAAACTCTTGGGGAACTGGGTAGGCTTCACTAAAGAGGTAACATTTTACTTAAGCCTTGAAGATGGAATGGGGAAAACGATGAAGGTATGAAGGCTCTGGAAGACCCCAGTGTGTGAGGAAAATAGTTTTAAATTGATGGCTTTGTATGTGAAGGTCAGAGACTCAGACCTTACCCATTAGGCATAAGGGATCCTTTCAGAAAACTGCTCAAAGTGTTTTTTTCTGAAGATTTTTTTTTATTGTTTTGATGTTTTTAGATAAAAAGTTCAGCTGTTGGGCCAAAACCTAAGAGGCTTTTGCAGCAATATAGACTGGAAACTAGGTCCAAATTAGAATTCTGGTAAAAAGGGTACCGAGTAAAGACATTCCTAAGATATGTGACCAGGTCTTAAAGAATGAGGACTTAAGAGGGTTTATACCAGAGGTAGCTCAGTTTTATGTCTAGCTTGCATTTGAAATACTTAGTCCTTGGAGTCCTTTAAAAATGACCTTTGACAGCCATTTAGACCTACTGTGGCCTTGCCTTCCCATTGTGGAAACCATAGCTGCTGGTGAGGGCTGCTCCAAGCCAGCCCTGCAGCAAGCACCTCTCCTGCTATCCCACTTGGTCCTCACCACAGCCCCTGCATCAGGTGGGTGCTGCAGAGTATGAATGTTTAGACAGTAATTTATCTAAATTCACACAAGCTTCTGTTTTCACTGATGGATAAGATGCTTGTGAGGTCAGAAGCTTTTATTCCACAGCTTGTGTTCCCATTGTCTAGTTTGCTTGTTTTGACTGCCCTGTGGGTCTCCTGCTTCTGTTTCTATTCTGTGCTGCTTTTATGGCAAAGCACATTTTGGGGTTAGTCTTCCGAGTGGGTCCCATTAGCTCAGAAAGCTGGAAAATGTAATGTAATGAAGCCATGTTCTTGCCTTAGGAAAATGCACGTGGCCTAGAAAGAAGCATAAAATCAGTAGTGCCGTTCTTTAGACTTATAATGCGAAATGAGTAGAATACCCTATAACTACCACAGTCTGGAAAGCCACAAAAATGCCTCAACATCTGTACCTAGGAAGGTAGCCCACTCATTCAGACTAAGGGTTTCATCCAGAAAGTGACTTTCTGTTGGTGCATATACCACCTGGAGCCAGCAGTGGCCCTGAGATGGAAAGCTGCCCATTTTAAACTTAGGTTTGCTGTCTCCAGTGTCAAGACTTGCATGGGATTCCTCAGTGCATTACCTCTGCCCTTTCCCAGTTTAGCTTCTTTAAGACTCAGCTGTTCTCCCAGCTCCTGAGGCCAGGGGAATCTTAGGTATTCTCAGCTCAAATTGTCCAGAGCTGGAGTATTGCCTGGAGCTAGTTTGGGACTAATCGGCCTTAGTTTGTAGTCCATATCCTTGATTGTGCATTAAAGGCACAGAGAAGACGTGGGAATTCAAACTTTGTAACCGCAGAACTCTGATGTTTGGGTTTTTTTTTAGTCTCACAGAATTAATCCCTAATACATGTGACAGAGGTGGAATCGCACCTGTTGAGGTGCAGCCAGAGATCAGGTCCTCCCGCCCTGCTAGCGATACAGTGTGAAAAACCAAAACCCTCTCTCGACACCTGGTAACCTGCGTTTAATGGGAGGGCACTGAAGTGGAAGGTGAAAAACACCAATCGGGCGTGTCCCCTGAACACATATGCCTCACTGCAGGTGTCTGGACATGTCATGGCTGCCTCTCCAACCTGCGAGGAAAAGAATCCATGCAAGGGGCAGAGACCAGCCAGTGTGCAGCAACGGCCAGGCAGCACAGCCAGCTTACGGTAGCCAGAAACGTGTGCTTTACATCATAGACTAGAGACGCCATAGGAAACTAGAAAACTGGTAGCCTCTCTCTGACCAGCCCAGTTGTGTATATAATTGACTGTAGTAGTAAGCAATAAGGCATTTCTATTAAAAAAGAAAAAAAAGATAAGGCAGGCATTATATGCAGGTTCCAGAGCAGCCCTCACCTAAGGAATGAGTCGGGCTAGGCCTATGTGCAAGGCCAAGAATTCCACAAACCAATTACAGTCTGAAATAGATGGAACAAACTGTCAAAACAGTAAATATAACTCCCCTCTTCCCTCAGCTTGTTTCCTGAGAGAGGATACGGTTTGTTGAGCAATTCCCCTATGCCAAGTCATGTTGTTGGCATTAAACCTATTAAGTGGGTACTACGATTTTTTCTACTTTCCAGATACAGAAGGCTTAGAAAGTCACTTGCCCACAAACATACAGGTAGTAGGAGCAGAGTCAGGGTTGGAAGTCAAGTCTGCCTGGCCCCCAAACCTGAGGTTCCCACTGAGACCCCTCATTCTCAACAGCTGTCAGTTTGCTGCAACACAGAGGAATGCAGTGCAGATGGAGCTCAGCTATCTACCCGCCCCCCCCACCCCCGACCTTGTCCCTGAGACATGAGAGCATCTCTCCAAGTGGTGGGGGCTGAAGGGGCATGTCTATATCCTGAAAGGCCTGGCCAGAAATGTGAAAAGATGGGGTCTCCTTAGAGGAGGGGTCACTCTGGGCTTTGTGTTCCCCACTCCTCCACCCCCAAGACTTAACAAAAAGTCACAGAAACAGGCTGGCAGGAGCTGCCCCAGATGGTCACTTCGCCCCAGGCACATTCCTGCTGCACAGCTCAGTGAGGGAGCAGCCTCCATGCAGAGGCCTTGTGTAAACCTCATTGATTTTTTTGCTTCATTAGGTCAGTGAGAGTCTGTGGCTCCCGCAGAGAGGCCTCATCAGCAAGGTCTAGCAATTTCCTGGAGAATCTGTAGGGGCAGTAGCTGCTCCTGGTCCCCAAGCAGGGAGCCTACCCAGATGCCACCGGATTTTCATGAAGCCTGGCTACAGCCCATCTGGCTGCGTGGCTCTGGACGGGTGCCTTTACCTTCCTAAGACTCAGCTCCTGTTCCTATAAAATGGGCATAACGATGTTCCCTAGTCCACAGGGTAGTTGCGAGGATTAAATTAGATAATGCAGGAGTGCTGGCTACATATTAAATATTCCGTAAACACGAGAGTGATGGTTATTGCCATTCTCGCAAAGCCTAGACCCACAAAGTTTGGGGTTCCAGCACTGACCAAGAAGCACCCTTCCACAATCACTAGTAATTTCAAAACAGCTCAAGTCTTTGGCTTGCCCTTGGCAAAGTGAGAGTTGTGAGTATAGCAATGTCTACAGCAGTATCTACCAAAACTCCTTTCCTCTCTAATCCACTTTCATCCATCTGCAGAAGTCAGAGGCATCTCTTTGAAAAATTGCTCACCCCACCCTAGCTGGTGTGGCTCGGTGGATTGAGTGCCAGCCTGTGAACCAAAAGGTCACTGGTTTGATTCCTGGTCAGGGCACATGCCTGCGTCGCAAGCCAGGTCCCCAGTTGGGGGACATGAGAGGCAACCAAGACATATCTCTCACAAATCAATGTTTCTCTCCCTCTCTTACTTCCTCCCTTTCCTCTCTCTAAAAAATAAATAAAATGAAATGAAAATCTCCTACCCCTACTACCTCCGCAATTACCTAGAGATGTTTTCCTCTTTATTATGTAGATTAATAGCCTGTGGACCCAAAGGCTTCTCCCCACCTACCATTCCACTTATTTGTCCCCCATCAGGCATTCTCCATTCTGTATCACAAAAGCTCAAAGAACAAACTTGAGCAAAGACCAAACTCCCCATAGAGATTGGGAAAGTTGGACAGTATAAAAAAAAAAACAAACACCTAGCGAGCAGGCTGTGACACTTCACCCAGTACAGTATTTTTACAGTCAAAGTTCAGGCTCACTCCAGTCCTTTGCCACCAAGCCCAAGCACTGTCCTTGGAAGCAGAGCAGTGCCCCGAAGACTGAGAAGGGGTGGGAAGAACCAGGAGCAGCTCTGCTTCGCATTCTGATTCCTTTTGCTACTGGATAGGGAATCTCTCTGAAGGGACCTTCCTAGCTTTGAGTTGTGGCAGTGAGGTCAGCTCCATCTTTGCTCCTGGGGTGCCCTGCCAGCCCCCTGCCTCCCTTAGGAGAGCACACAAGGGAGCAGGTCTGTCCACTCTGTCGCTCTGGAGTCTTTGACTCCATATCGATCAATAGCACCCCCTGGTTGAGAGTCGGCCAGCTCCTCAACTGCCCCAGGAGCCACTTTATGGGATGAGGGGATGGGAGTGGCAAGGAACTGGGATTATTGCATAATCAATGCAGTCTGTCTCCTGCACTACCAACATCCCCTCGTTTACCAACTCGAGGGAGAGCAAAGTCTGAAGCCAACTAACACACTGAGATTTTCAACTTTCACCTATTGCCCTGAGCAGATTTTAACGCTGAAGCCCGACAACATGTCCCCACAATCAATAACAGGTGGGAGGGAGGGGACAGCCTCCAAAGGCGGGCCTTCCCAGTCTGCCCCATTTCAGGACCTTTCTCAAAGAACCCCTGCTGGGTCTGAAGTCTCCCAGGGCAACCCAGCTGGGCTGCCTCCTTAGGCTGTTCCCAAGTTTCAGGGGTTGACAGTGGAGTGTGATGGGCCTGCAGCCCTCCTGGAGGCTGCAAGGCAGTCCTGGTACTGGCTCTGGATCTTTGTCCAA